AAATCACTCTCTCTGCGGATCAATCCCGATCAATCGGGTCAAATTCGAGGGGTCGAGATAGTTTGATCGATGGCTTGGGTTCCAGTTTGTGCAATCGAGCATTTTGGAGTGATCAGGTTAGTCTGTATACAGTTGTCTGTTTCGTTTATGAGAAGATGATATACAAACAGAATTTTCTTACAAAAGTGAAGATTTGAAACTTGAAATAGGATCTATTGAATTCAAATACATAATAGGAACAACTCATTACTTATATCAGTTTGTTTTTAAATTTGTTTGTACAGCATTACTCCCCAAAAAAAAATGAACATTCACTACAAGAATTTACACATTTTGCGACCACTTTTACCGACTAAAAAAATTTTGGTCGCAAAAAAATGACGTTTGGAGACCAAATATTAATTAGTCGCGAATGATCATTAATTTTGGCGACCAAATTTTATTGGTCGCAGAAATTTATATTTTGGCGACCAAAAAATATGTTGGTCGCAGAAAGTGGTATACTTTTGCCGACCAACTACAAATTTGGTCGCGGAAGGTCACATATTTTTTGGCGACCAAAAATTTGGTCGCGAAAAACTTATTTTCAGCAACCAAAAAAAATTAGTCGCCAAATTAGTACTATTAGCGACTAATATTTTAGTCGCCGTTGATTGAGATTTGGCGACTAAAAAAATTAGCCGGCGAAAGAACCTATTTTTGCGACTAATTTGAGTGTTTGGTCGCCAAAAGTTTAGGGGGAAATTTGAAACGTGGGGCGGGAATTGAATTTCAGAAAAAAAATTCCAGATTGGGGTAATTTTCTACTTCACACGCTGTTGATGCATCAATCGAACCCAGATTGGGGTAATTTGGTTTAACTCGTCTCCTCCCATTCCCTCTCTATCTCTCACTCCCTCTCTGTTCTTTTTTCCTACCCTCCCTCTTGCGCTCGCTCCCAACGCTGGCCTCGATTTCTGCCTCTCCCCCATTCTCTCTCAGTGTCTTCAAGTCGCAATCCTCCCACTCGCAAGGTAGGGTTTCCAATTGTGAATCGTGACATTGTGCTTCGATTGGGTCACCGAAGGCTAGGGTTTCCACCACCACAGCCACCTTCATCATCATCAGCTTCCTCAAATTCTACATTGACGCCGCTATCTTCTCTTTCTCTCTCTGCTTCGAAGCCCCATGGGAGCTCTCTGGTATCTCTCTCCCTCTCTCTCTCTTTCTCTCTATGCTTCTCTATGCTTTAAGTAAATCGATATTTGTTGGTGGAATTGAGGTAATGGTAAAGATTGTTTATTGTCAATAATCAGTCAAGTAAATCGATTACAGAGTGGAATTGAGGTAATGCTTTTCTATGCATTTGAATTCAAAAACATGTATTTGTTGCCAGAAAAGTTGTGTAATTACATATCCTCTGGGATTTTGACTTAGTTAAGGAACTCATTATCTTTCCTTGGACTTGGGATCTCATACTGCTTTTTTTAGAATTTCAATTAATTTCACTGATTTAGGTTGTGTGATAATTTCAATGTTTACATTGCATTTTCTTTAATTCAATCTGAATTTCAGGGTACTGCATCAGTTTCTGAAAATCAGGATGCGACTTCGCTGTTGTAAGGTAATCTTTTTAAAAACCAATATCTACTCATTAATGAATGAACAAAAATGAAAAGAAAAAATGGCCTCGAACAACAAAGACCTGGTAGTTCTTCATCTTTATATGTGTATGTGTGTATCTACTCATCTTTATGTGTGTATGTGTGTATGTTTCTTTATATTTGTTGGTGGAATTGAGGTAATGCTTTTCTATGCATTTGAATTCAAAAACATATATTTGTTGTCAGAAAAGTTGTGTAATGACATATCCCCTGAGATTTTGACTTCACTACAAGAAAAGTGGGTTTATGAGACGGAACTATTTGCGACGGCACCATTTGTCATCTCAAAACAGCAGAGCATTTGCGACGGCACAATTTGCCGTCTCAAAAAATGAGAGCATTTCCGACGGTATTTTCTACTGTCGCAAATACTCTCATTTTTTGAGACGGCAAATTGTGTCGTCGCAAATGTTCTGCTTTTTTGAGACGGCAAATGATGCCGTCGCAAATACTTTTCTTTTTTGAGACGGCATTTTCTACCGTCGCAAAAAGTGACTTTCGTGTTTTTTTTTTTAAGTGAATATTTTTAAAATTTTAAATATTTTTTTTAGATGCACCTTACTTAGATGTATCTACAAAAAAAATTATGAAAAAATATTTTTAAAAATTAATAAATACATAAAAATACAAAAAAAAAATGTATTGAATTATTGTATTTTTGGTATTTAGTGAATTTTTAAAAGATTTTTTTTACAATTTTTTTTAATTTTTAGGTGTATTTATGTTAGGTGTGTCTAAAAATTAAAAAAAAAACTTAAAATATAAAAAAAAATTCAGTAAAAATAATATAACACGGAAAATAAGAAAGTATAATTTTCTCAAAAGAGTTTTTGGAAAACTCTAATCTAGCATAGTGATTGTGGCTTTGAGACAACTTCATATATATATATATATACAGTCACAAATTTGTTTGAATAAATTCAACGGTATTTTTTTGTCGTAAAAAAAAATTAAAAATAACAATGTCATCTTACTCTTTTGATATAACATTTCTTTTTTCATTCATTTTTTCATCTTCCTGTCTCTCTGTCTCTATCTCTCTCTCTCTCTCTCTCTCTCTCTCTCTCTTCTCTTTATCTCTTTCACTCACCACTCTTCTTTCTCTGTCTGTCTATTTCTCTCTCTCATTTTCTCTCTGTGTCTCTCGCCTATCTCTCTTCTCTCTATCTCTCTCATCTGTTTTCTCTCTCTGTCTCTCGCGCTCATCTCTCTTCTCTCTATCTCTCTCATTTCTTTTCTCTCTCTCTCTTATCTCTCTATCTCTCTCGCCCATTTCTCTTCTCTCTCTGTCTCTCTCTCTTTTTCTGTGTCTCTCTCTCGCTCATCTCTTTTCGCTCTATTTCTCTCTTTTTTTTGTCTATCTCTCGCTCATCACTTGTTTCTCTCTCTTTTTCTATATCTTCCTCTATCTCTCTCTCTTTCTCTCTCTATCTCTTTTTCTGTCTATCTCCCTCTCATTCATCACTCTTCTCTCTCTCTCTCTCTCTCTCTCTCTCTCTCTGTGTGTACTTGTCTATTTGTCTATTTCTCCCTCACTATGTTTGCCTTGCTCACTCTCTTACTCCCATCACTTATCTTTCTTCTCTCTCTCACTCATCACTCATCTTTCTTCTCTCTTCGTCTCTTTTTTTTTCTATGTCTTTCTCTCGATCATCTCTTTTCGCTCTCTTTTTCTCTCTCTCTCTCTCTCTTTGTCTATCTCTCGCTCATCTCTTGTTTCTCTCTATTTTTATATATGTCTCTCTCTCTATATCTCTTTCTCTCTTTGTCTCTCTCTCACTTATCACTCTTCTCTCTCTCTCTTTCTTTCTCTGTGTCTATTTGTTTGTCTCTCACTCTTCTCTCTCTCTCTCTATGTGTCTGTCTGTCTGTTTGTCTCTCTCCCCCATTGTGTTCACCTTGTTCACTCTCTCCATTATCTCTTCTCTATTTACCGAGCTCTCCACTACAAGAAAATGCACTTTTAGCGACCACTTTGTTTCTCTCTCACTCATCACTTTGTCTCTGTCTGTCTGTCTATCTCTCTCTTTCTCTCTATCTCTCTTCTCTATCTGTCTCTCACTCATCTCTCTCTCACCACTCATCTTCTCTACCACATCCACCACTACTGCAAATGCAATTCCACTACTACCACTGTTGTCACTCAACCTCTACAACTATCATTACTACCACCATCGCTACCACTCCACTACCACCACTACTACTACCATTATCTCTCATCCACAATCGCTATTCTATCTCCTCTACAACTACCACAACTTCACCACTTATCTCCTTCACCATCACTACCACCACCACTATCACCTCTTATCCACCACTTTCACCACTACTGCCACTTCCCATCCTCTACCACAAAAAATTAGTTCTTGATTTTTAGTAACAAAAAAAAAAATGGGCCAAAAAAAAATATTTTTCATTGCCACAAAAAATTAACTTTATTTTAATAGAAAATATTTTTCATTAAAATATTACCCCATTCATTAACAATCAAAAAAATTATTTTAATAAAAAATAATTTTTTTAGCAATGACATCCTCTGTTGCAAAAAAAAAAAATCATTTTATTATTTAAATATTTATTTGTAATGAAAATAAAAATAAAAAAAATCTAACAATCTCATCTCTCTCCCTCTCTTTCCATTCCCGCTCCCCCTCTCCCTCCACTCCTTTTCCATTCCCGCTCGGGTTCCCCCCACCCCAAACCCAAAATCCCCAATCTCAAAAATCCCTAATCTCTTCACCCTCTCCTCCCTCCCCATCCTTTTCTCCATTCCCGCTCGGGTTCCCCCCCACCCCAAACCCAAAATCCCTAATCTCTTGAACCAAAATCCCCAATCTCAAAATCCCTAATCTCTTCTCTCTCTCTCTCTCTCTCTCCGTCTCAATTTGTTTCAGATGCTGACTCGGATGATTCACGGTCTAGGAGGAAAAGGAAGAGCATGAGTTCTAGGCGTAGAAGTAGGAAATCGGAATCAAATATCAACATACATACATACAGACTTGTTTGAATCGTCAATCAAATATCAACCAATCAATATCGATGGCTTCATCTTCGGATTCCATGGACAACACTTTCAGAGCTCGAGTCCAGAAGATCTTCGGGTCTCTCTCATCATCATCATCATCGCTAAGCCCTCCGTGGTCTCTCACCGATGGCGAGGTCGAGAAGAGAGAGTGGCGACAACCCTCCTCCGCCAAAGATGACGACCAAACCCCCATTTCTTTCTCTTTCGATGGCCTTGCTTGTAGGGTTGTAGGGTTGTAGGGTTCCGCCATGAAAGGAGGTAGATCAAAAACGGAGAGCAAAAGGACCGATAGCAAGTAAGTTTTGTTTGCCTTGTTGTTTTTGGAGTTTTTAGATCTGAGATCTATTATGCATGTGATTCAGAGTGTGTTTTTTTGTTATGTTTCTATCGATTTTTTTGTTGTTAGGCTTTCTGTGAAGAGAGGTGCTCCGAGCGAGAAGGATGGTAAAAAGCCAGCGGCGAAGAAGGGGAAGGTTGCCAAGGACCCTAACAAGTCGAAGAGGCCTGCTAGTGTTTTCTTTGTTTTCATGTCATCATCTATTTTCCTTTCTCTCACATGAAAATCGTTGTTAGATCTGTATATTCTGCATCAATGAATATATTTTTAAATATTTTAGGGAGGAGTTTAGGAAAACGTACAAAGAGAAGCATCCTAACAACAAATCCGTAGCCGCCGTGAGTGTTTTCACCTCATTTGTTTTATAGATTTCTGATTTGTGGATTTTGTTCAAGTTTGATTTCAATTTTTATTGTTTTTGGAATATGGATTAGGTTGGTAAGGCTGGAGGAGATAAATGGAAATCTTTGTCAGAAGCTGTAAGTAATTCAATTCCAAATAATGATTTGATTTTGATTTATTCTCTGAAATCAAATATATTTACTTGTTATTGTTGTTCAATTTTTATGTTTTGAAAAAATTAGGAGAAAGCTCCCTACGTTGCGAAGGCAGAGAAAAGGAAGACCGAATACAATAAAACTCTTGAAGCTTATAACAAGAAAATGATAACATTCTTCATGATTCAATTAATTTACTATTATTCAATCAATCCCTAGATGTTTTAGGAAATTATTATTTGATTATTTGCAATAATGGTTGGTATAGGTTGAGGGTCCAGCTGATGAAGAAGAGTCTGACAAGTTGAGGTCGGAGGTGAACGATGAGGATGACGAAGACGATGAGAGTGGGGAGGTTAGTTTTATTGTATTCGGTCTTGCTTGTAGGGTTGCTTGTAATTTGTTTCTTTATATATATTTGGATGAGTGTGGGAATTTTTAAAGTTATTCATAGATGCGTTGCTTATTTACTTAGAAAAGCTAGGGAAAATTGTGGAATAGATTTTTGAATTCTCGTTTTTCATTGTTTAGATCCAGATAAAAGGAATTAGCCTACGATAATTGCTTGCCTTATTTTTGTTGAATTTTTCAAACATCGAGATCAAATCTGATCTGATCTACCTTTTTCCTAATTTTCCTTCCTTAAGCTTCATTTCAATTTGAGGTTGCAAATAGTTCATATTAGCATGCACTGGTTACTGAAGTTTGTTCAAATGAAAACATCGTTCTACATTGATCCATTGATAATTATTCTGCGATTAATAGAAGAGACAGTGATGAGAGTCCTCTACTTAATTTTTTGAAGTGCAGTACTGTATGTTAGATGTTACCTTTATCTTGAATCGGTTGCTAATTTGCTATTGATATATTGTTTACTCTGTTTGGATGGGGTGATTTGTTGAGAAATGATGACAAAGAGAACTTTTTTCCATGTTTGGTTTATAAGTTGAGTGAGAAACGGTTAGAAAGAGAACTCCCTTACTAAGTCTATTTCGTAAGAGAACTTTTTTCATAATAGAAATGATGACAAAGAGAACTTTTTTCAATTCACTTTTAGCCTTGTGATTCCAACCAAGCATCAAGCTTTCATTAACTTTATTTTTTTTAAAAAGAAAATTAAGATTTCGTTCTTGTTACTACTAGCCATTTAAAATTTTCATCCATTTAACATGCAATGTTTTCAGCATCTTAAGCACATATATGTACAGAAAAAAGAAAAAAGAAGCTTCAGATAGTATTAGAATTGCTACCTAATTTGCTACTTTAATTACAGTTCTACGCTCTGTCTTGGCTGGTCATTGTTGATGCAATGATCATCTTGAAGGTTAGTAGTACTCAAATTCTAAAGATTTATCTGCTTAATCTAAATTGTTCTGGATTTAAAAAAAGAAAAAAGGTTCTAATTCATTTATTTATATATATATTTTTCTGGTTGTAATATAATTTATCAAATGATGTGTCTTTCAACTGCAGATTGTGTCCATGGGTAGGAAGAAGTTCAGTGCAGATTTCCAGCTGATGTTCAGACTTCTCAAGCTGTTCCAGTTTATTGGATCCGTGGTCACTGTTGTCATTTTGTTCGCATTCCTTAGTCTTACTGTTTATTTTATTGCTTTTTTTTTTTTAGCTAACCAAAATGAGATTTTAATCCTTGTGTTTAATAGAAATAATAATTGATGTAATTGTTGTTTGGACCTTAAGACGTGAATTATTTACTATCAGTATCTTCTTACACTTCTATTGTCATGTACAAAACTCTATATTTCACAGAAATATATGTGCTTATTTTCAATTTCTGGGTTAAAGATTTACAGCTTCATTTTATTCTATATGCAAAATTTAATTGCCAAGAACTTCTCACTTCTGTCTTCACTACTTGCGTGTTTGTTCATTTCTCTGTGTGGGTTTTTCTTTGGACCTACTCCTGATATCTGGTTGTTATATTTGAAATTTCTTTTGAATGAGCAGTCCTTGTGCCCCTCATGATTGAGTGAACATACTTAGACATGCCCAGTCCTTTGAGGAAATTTTCCGTGTGATTGTTCTTTCTGAGTTTGGCAAGATTTTTTGTTGTTTATCATTCAGGTGAAGCAATCTCTGGAGGAAAATTGGTGATTGATGTTGCATATTTTGGATTCCACATCTATAGTGAGACTGATGAACTCTGCGGGAAGACATCTTGCCCCATTTCTGCTGGTGATTTTTTAATTTCTCACTCTCAGGATTTACCTGGGTTCACTCCACCGGTAAGTCAACTTATAATTTAATTGTTGCAATGATATTGTGCATTAACGTACTATGTGTTTATTTCATGTTTAGAACAACCCATGACCAATTGGTGGCTTTCGTTTGTGGTTTGGAATCAATCAAGGACACAGCTTGCAATCTCATCTGGAACGCATTAATAAAAAGCAATTTTTTTCTAATTTCTTAGCCTCTCTCTTTCCAGGGATTGCAACTTCTGATGGCTTGCCTTTGTAGTCGCAGGGCAATGAAAAGGTAATGGTACCTTTCGTTCTGTTTTGTTCTGACAAGTATATATCCTAGTTTGAGTGAGATATAGTTAATGAATATGTATCACCTATTTTGTGTCTTAGATTGGATTCTGATGTTACAATTTCCAAATTGATTTTTGGCTAGCTTGCTAAAATTTCTTAGTTTTAGGAACCTTTGTATGGATTAAATATTTTTTATTAAAATTTAATTTTGGGATTAGCACATTCCCTGAGAAGTTATCACTTCGTTGTGTTTATGATGCAACTTGTGTTTTTTTCTTTTTTTCTTTTTTTTCATGTTTCCTCTCTTGAAGTCGATTAGTTAGTGTGTTTCATTTTTGTTCTTTGTCCGTAATGATTGAAGTTGACAACACATATATGAATGCTTTCTAGGAGCTTGCATATTTGTTAGAAGAGAAGAACATGTCTCTGGCAACGATTCAGGCAGCTCATGAGTCGGAAATAAATAACTTCGGCTTAGAACTTGAGAAAGAACGTGACAAGTTAGCAAATATTCAGCTAAAATTACAAGGTTCTTCCCTACTCTTTCAATGTCCAGTAGTAATATCACATTTTGTCGTTTTAAATTTCTCGCCTGATCTCTTTTCCATTCCTACAGGAACTGAAGTTGAATAAATCCTTTCAAGAGGAGCTGAACTTATCAAAAGTGGACAAGGACAAAGTGAGTTCTGAATTGGGTTCCTTTCTATTGGAATTGATGGCTATTTTGGCCTTTTGACATTATTTATGTAAAGTTGACCATAAATTACTTTTACTCATTTATCTTGAAATTCACCAATTATTTCTCAAATAGTTGTTACCTTTCTCTGTTGCAGTGAAAAATAAAGATCATAATCTAACTATATTTTCAAGGATCTAATATATTCTCATTAGTGGAACTTACTACTAACTATAATATCTTGATTGCTATTTTCTTTTCAAAGACAAGTTGAAACTAATAGCTAAACTGAAATGTGGATGAAAGTGGTGAAGGGTTTAAGTCAAGTTTTATTCCTTAACAAAACATCACTTGAGGTGCTGTGTGCATGCACAGGATTTTGTACTCTGGTAGAATCTGTAGCATAGTGCTAGGAATTTCGGGTGTGGGTCTTCATGAAACATGAATATCTAGTAGTGTTCATGACATGAATTGTACTCTCTGTTAACATCATATGTATGTTGTGTGTATATGATACACCCATGTACTGTGTACATCATTAAATGTAACCTCTGTGTAGAGTTCTATGATTTTAAAACTGTTCTTAAGAATTTGGATCTGGCATGAACTTTTCAATTTTGCTTTGTGTGTTTTTAAACTTGGAGATAATTACACCCCTCCAACAAATGTGGTTCCAGATATCATGCCATTTAACTGCCAGTGGATTCTCTCCGTGTTGAACAAGGCCATATCAAAAACTGTGACATCACTGGACTCGTATGAATTTTCTGATGCTGCTACTGCAGTATATTCATGGTGGCAGTTCCAGTTGTGTGATGTGTTTATTGAAGCCGTCAAGCCCTATTTTGCCAGTGATGCTCAAGCATTTGCTTCTAAAAGGAGTTATGCACAAGACACCTTGTCGGTGTGTCTGGAATAACTAATTGGATGATGGGTTCTATTGCTGTTTGTTTTGGTTGTTTATCATTTATAATGGTAATAAGCTGTCTTAATACTGGAAAGTAACATCAATTAATGCTGCTCCTCAACCTTTGTTCTACTGTTTGCAGTGTTGGACAAATGAGAAAGTAGAGTATGAGATGGATATGATTGAGTCAGCCGTGAAATCACTCAGGTCACTCAGGGCGTTGATGCCTGCAAAAGAAAGGCATGAAAGGTAAATGTTTAAATGATATGTTTTTTTTTTTCATTTTATTGTAATAGAATTTTTATTTTTGGGTTATTTATTAATTTTTTTTTTCATTCATGAAAAGCATCTAAGCTTTAATTGTTTATTCTTTTTTTATTCCTCATATTTTAGGCCAGGGAAATATTCTAATGTTTATTTTATGAAATACCTATTTGCTATGTATACAGTTCCATTTCTGATTATACTACTTCTATGTAAGCCAAAATTCCTTTCCTTGGATTGTAATGACAATGTTTAAATAGTGAATAAGAAAATAAATCGTTACGTAGGAGTGAGATTTTTTGAATTGTTACCAACAAATACTTTGGAAATAATATGTAGTTGCCTTTTCATAAAGAATTTGATTTGAATTTTTTCGAATTTGAGTGGTCATATGTTGTAGTAGTGACTGACCTTCCAGCATGATTGAAATGTGTTAAACAAAGATGTTGGTGGCCCATCTGAGAAGTTCCGGGGTTTACTTACTCTCCTTACTTGGTTACGTAGGAGTGAGATTTTTTGAATTGTTACCAACAAATACTTTGGAAATAATATGTAGTTGCCTTTTCATAAAGAATTTGATTTGAATTTTTCCGAATTTGAGTGGTCATATGTTGTAGTAGTGACTGACCTTCCAGCATGATTGAAATGTGTTAACAAAGATACAGGTTTGCAATCCAGTGTTGTTGCCACTATCATGCTTCTCTGATAAATTTTCCAATTCTATTTCTTTATTAGGTGCCTTACATCACTACTGCTTTGATGGATGCGAAGCGTGGCACGGAAGGGCGCAAGGATTTTTTGATTGGCTATCAAGGCAACTTAGTGGATTAAGCAATTTTCGTGATGCTGTAAATCTGAATTATGTATTGTTTCAATTTGTTATGCTAGATGGATGTGACTTGTGAATGAAAACTTAGAATAGTTGTATTGTGTCGAATGTTAATGAATTATGTATTGTGTCGAATGTTAATGATTCAGTTAATTTGAATGATGCTTTAAAATTATAGGTTTATTATGGATTGAATGAATTATTAGGAATTACAGGTGTATTGTTTTCTTGCTTTGGCGACCAATTTATTAGTCGCAACAAATAAATTATTTTTTTTTCGCAAAAAATGACAATTGTCGACCAAGAGTTTTGGTCGCAAAAAATACATCTATTGCCGACCAAAACAGTTCTTAGTCGTGGAAACTCACTTTTGCCGACCAAAAGTTTTGGTCGCGAAAAGTAACAACTGGCGACCAAATTTTTTGGTCGCCAAAATATCACTTTTCGCGACCAAAGTGTTTTGGCAACCAAATAAATTAGTCGCGGTAATTAAATATTTAGCGACCAAAAATTTAGTCGCGAAATCCAACTTTTGTCGACCAACCACAATTTTGGTCACGAATTACTTTTGCCGACCCTCAATTAGCGACCAAAGTAGCGACCAAAAAAATTGGTCGCAGATAACTTTTGCCGACCAAAAATAAAAGAAAGAAAAAGAAAAATAAGAAATCAAATTTTAAATTAATATTAAGAAAGAAAAATTATGTATAGTATAAAAAAAATAGTTTATATTAATAATAATTCATTTATCAAATTGTAAATTTTACTCAATTCAAACATAAAAATGAGAAAAACAATAAAATTATATGCGAAGACACATGTAATCACATAAAATATTAAATAAAATGATAATATCATGTTTATTTATATATTTTTTCGAGTGTTGCGATGAGTGTTAAGCTATATGGGCATTCCACATTGGAATGGTAGGTTGTTTTTTTTAAAACTGGTGTTTGAAACTAAAATTTTAAACTTGCGGAATTAAAAAACATTGGTTTTTGATAGATTTTTGGCTTTTGACTTTTGTGAAAGAAAAAAAAATGATTTTAACTTGAATATGATATTTTATCTTATTAGAAATTAAAAAAATTTTAATTTTACTATTATCATAGTAACGCATCCTAGCTTAAATTATATACTCGCCAAAAAAAAAGCAGAAGAAAATAAAGAGAAAAACCCACCGCGTTTACTATATATGTCTCCAAACCAAATGTCGGCAATCGAGTAGTTCCAAAGCTGGGCGTGAACTTGTATTTTTTTTTTTTGAAAAACTTGTTTTTTGTTTTTGCCCGTCGAAACTTGTTCTTTTTCGCTGTTTTCAAAACACGACTCTCTTCTCTATTGGGCCATGTTTGTTAGGTGAGAAATTCAAACATCATATAAGGCAGTCAAAATAGCCCTACATATATTTATGCTTTGGGCCAAGGAAAAATGATAAATACAACACTCTTAAAAAATGTGATATCTGATATTAATAATGTTTAATTAACTCTTATATATAGTAGATATTAGAAGATCTGAATCAACATCAAAAGTAAAAGTTAAATATAATTATCAGAAGAGATTTAAAATTTTGTTTCAAAAATATTCAACAAAAAATATTGTTAGGTTTTTTGTTTTTGGCAATCCTATTTGACAAACTCCCTTTCAATTTGTAATTTATTTACTTTTATATTTCAGTGAGGTATGAGTTTTTAAGATTCCAGATCCTCGAATTGTTTGTGTAGAGAGTTTGTGGTGATTAATAATCTTATGTTTGCCACCGTTGTCTACTAATGTCCAGGATCGAGCTTGCGATAGATCGCGGGGTCCAGGGGGCCAGCGCCCCTGTAGGTAGCGCGGGGGTCGAGGGGCAGCCCCCACAAAGCAAAAGAAAAATTGCAGTCTAAATTTGTTTATCTGTTCGAGCAAGCCTTCCTGCGTTCGAAGCGGCTGATTCGCAACCTTTCAGAAGTTTTGTTTTCACCACTACAAATGTACTGAGAATTGGTTTTTCTACTTCGAGCCGGCCATTATTGTGACCTCAAAGCGAGATCATGACCCTATTTTCTAAATAAAATATGTGGTTTATCAAATTTTTAAAGGGGTTTACAACTTCCAAATCTTTTCTTGGGTATTAGGATTTTATTCTGAGCTTCTTTGCTTGTTTCTTTTGAATATCTGTGAGATGTTTAATCATGAATTTGGTGGATTATATCAAAAAAGAAGTTTATTTAATTTATTTTATTAAAAAAAAGAGAGTTGTTCGTTTGGTATATTCCCGTGGAATTTGGCCTGAAACTTTGGTGGATTCTGGAGTGGCTCATTGTCATGGATTCGACATATCAAAGCGTTGTGGATTCAATTATTGGGCAAGACAATTCCGAGGTCAAAGGTAAGGGAAGGAAGCCATACATTAAAGGGTCGGTTCGATCAAGCGGGATTTCGCTAAGTAATTGGAAAATACACCTTATATAATTCCTTATGTCTTCTTAAGCCCTGTTTGGATTTCAGGATATAAAAGGATGGGATTGGAATAATTAATATCTTGTGGGGTCCCACCAAATATCCCCATGTTTGCAATTTTATATTCCACAAAAGGATATAATATACAGGGATTTGTATATCCCCAAAAGTGGAGGATATAACAATACCCACCACCCCGCATTATATCATATCCCCCCTTGTTCGGATATGAATTAAAAAGTCCAATTACCCTTTTGTCTATCTAACATATATAATTTAATATATTTTTTGAAATTTAGATAATATAATTATTGAATTGAATTTAATATAATAATAATATATATAATATAATTGTAATTTAATTTAATACAAATTTTGAATTTAATATAATATAACAAAATATAGATTAATAATAAATTGTGAATATAATATAATATAATGAGGGCAATCTTGAGAAAAAATTTTTTAAACTTCGTTTTATAATTCTACAATATAATTTGTAAATAACATGGATAAATATATATCCAATCTTTATAGTATCAATTCAACAAACATAAATTGTGAGATATATTATCTAATATCTATATCCTATTCATTATATAATCCTGACTAAAATCTAAACATCCATATATATTCTCCATTTTTAAATCCAGTGAAACAAACAGGGCCTTTAGTGGATTGTTTTGTGACTTTGGCCAGTAATTTTTTTTTTATCAAGCAATTGAAGGCGCTCACAATTGTGATTTTTCCCACATAAAAATCGTTGCCACGGTTTCGATTTGTCCTTTAATTGTTTTGATTGAAATTGCTATTTGTACTATTTAAAATTGATATATAAATTACAAATCAATATCTAAGAAATTTTTAAGATTTTTTCAAAATATTGTGTGGTTGAGTATCTTGTAGGTGTGCGGTCTCAAATTTAATATAAAAATTTGAATTGGCACACTATTTCTTGAAGAAAATTTCTAGCAATTTTTCACTTTGATTTTTTCTGTATAATTATCCCAATATTACTTTAAAAAAAAATTTTAAAAATCAAACTTACCTTTCCCCAAAAACCAACATACTACATACCATACAAAAAATTATTTAAAAAGTTGAAATCAAATGAGCTATATTTTATTGTGAAATGTAACTTAATCACTCACTAATTTTTAAAATTAATACTACACAATTATTTTAGATATTTCGGAATAAATTTTTCTTAGTTGCTGTTTGTTTTGCGCCAAAAAATAAAAAAAATAAAAGTAAAAAACATGAACAATCACAGAGTCACAGTCCAATGTTTACCATGTACAACATTTCAGATTGTTGGTTCTTCCAAAAACATTCCAGATTGTTAAATGAAATGAACATATATATAATTAAAGCACAAGAATTTTCTTTTTTGATCGTAAACAAATATCCCCCAACCCTGAATCGGGTTTTGGTCCGTAGTGGTTTATTTTGGACTGTATTTTTTGTCGAATCAAATTATTTATCTTGTGTGAACTCTTTAAAATTGATTTATTCTTGCAAAAAAGAATAAATTGATCAAACACTAGTAACAGTATGGATTAAACAATGTATCTTAAAAATATGAATGTTTGATTTATTGGATTTAATGAATGTTAAATAATCCAATTCTACATTTGAAGAGCCTCAGATAGGAAGGAAAAGTTTTAACAATGTCCTTGAAAAAAAATTAAAAATTAAAAAGTTATTCAAAAATTAAAAATTATCACTATTTATCAAAAATATATTAAAAAAAATTAAGTTAAACACATAAATTATCATTTCAGGTCCAACAGCAGAGATTACTTTTGGAGAAAATTTACAGTTTTAGGTCATAAATAACAATGGTGGATGTTCGGTCCTGTAAAGGCCCATCAATGGTCTCTTTTTAAATAGTCTGAACCATTTCAATATATAGACTCGTCAAGTAATATATGTTCTGAAAAAATCACGTTGATCGGATATTGGTAATATATGATCAAACTCGAAGTTAAAATTATAAATGGTGGTACTAACAGTTTAACGATTGGAAAAAAAAACTAAATCCGATCAGATAGCTACGATTTACGATCAATGTAATTTTTTATAAAGCATAATAGTACTCGACGAGTTCTACACATTAGCGGTTTTGATTAGCAAAACGGGACCTGTGGTGACCTGCCATGGGCCGAACAACACCTCCAAATTCAATACCCAAAAGCAGGGAATCATATCCAAGTACACTCTCACACTGTCTGCCTATTCTCCTCACAATCTTCCTCCTTTACACTAATATTATATAATTTTTAATACACATTTTTTTTTATAAAAAGTCAAAATTACTCCAAATAATCATATTTATTTCCTCAAACTTTTTGTTAAAAAAGTCAAAAAAAATACATTTATTAAGACATCCCCAAAACAATCCTAAGAGCAATTTAAGTCACCGAGATAAAAGGTGGCCCCACCAAATCCAGATGACACTCTCTAATGGATTCAATTAATGGAAAGAAGTTTAGTCCTGAAAAAATTATTAGGTATTTCCAAAACATATTAAGTGAGTCATTTTTTATTTTAACTTTCTCACTAATGTGCATAAGCATTGTCCTATTGCAAAATTCCCTACCATAGTCATTGATTGAGAACACCAAGAAATAGACAACAACACTACGGGTGTGTTGTTTAAGACGGACTGGATAAGAGAGATTGTAATCTATTAGACTATTAGTTCTGGGAAT